AAAACTCTCAAAAAAAAAAAAGAAAAAAGAAGTGAAGTAAAGGGTTATTTCATAACTTTCTGAGAAAGGTTTTTTAGCCCAGAAACTGCTGCAACTTCAACTCAAGTAAATGCAAGGCAATTATTTCACTTCGGATGCTGCATGAGCTTGTGAAAGTTTGTCAGAATCAGTACGGAGTCATTGGGAGTCATTTGTGTCAACCCTGCTAACGGAGCTGTAGATGACCCATAGGGGGCGTTTTCTCACACTGGCGTGCCTGATAATAACTGTCATCCAGGATAACTTGCACAGAGACCACTGCAACCTGATACAAGGAGGGCATCTGCCCAGAAATCGGCTGCTATTGACCCTGGTCGCCAAGGCTCATTGTCCCAAACAATCGGTGTAACCCCCTCCGCCCTCCCCTCCTGCTGTGGTTTTTGCCTTTAAAACCTGCTTGAGGGTTGCATGGCATTTTCAAAATGCGTCCGGCTTTTCCGATGATGTAATAACGTAGTCATAATGGACGCCTCGTGGCTGAGGCTGGCCCAGTTCTCTGACCCTTGGGGTGACTCGGCAGGACTCACCCTGGTGCTACCCTCCTAAAGCACTGATGGGTCACGTTCTCTGTCGAAAGGCTGACAGTCCTCGTGATTGTTCTAATCCTTTGTTCTCTCCCTTCGGAAAAGCCCAGAAAAGGCTATCAGGAGCAACCAGAGGGTGCCGGGTCTGAACGTGCGGCTCCGCGGTCAGTGGAGCTGGCGTTCCTTCCTGGGGTCAGCTGTGTACGGAGCATGGCCTGAGCCTGCTCACCTGGTCTGTGAACGAGAGGCCGGGACATCACCAAGGAAGCCAAGAAATGGGGTGTTGGGGGAAGTGGAAGGCACGGGTGTTTTCTGCCTGCCCAATAATGCAGCCACAGTGCTCGATGTTTTATGGAACCAGACACCTGAAAATAAACACACACACACACACACACACACACACAATACTGGATATCTACAAAAATATATTTTTATGTATTTTAATGAATTTTTTTTGAGAGGTTTTCTCTATAGGGCGCGTGCGCTCGCCAGACAGAGAGAGACAGAGAGACAGAAAGCGAGAAATCACCCCCCAGGGGGGATGGTCACACCGCAATCCCTTCTCCTCCATTCTCCTCTCGGGATCTTGGGTACTCACCAGAGAGACAGAGAAACAGAAAGCAAGAAATCAACTCCCTTGGTGGACAGCCACACTGCAATCCCTTCTCCTCCGTTTTCTTCTCAAGATCTTGGGCATGCACGCACACGTGGCTGGTGTTGAGTTTTAAGTCGCCAGGTCCAGGACTCGAGCTACAGTCGTCTACATAGGAGTCCAGCGACATTATCATTATGCCATCTGCTGGTCCCCACAAACATTTATTTATCACAGTTCCAGAGGTCGAGAAGTCAAAGATCAAGGCCCCAGCCGATTCAACATCTGGTGAAAACACTCTCTGCTTCCAACGTGGTGCCTTGCTACTGCATCCTCTGGAAGGAGCTAATGTTCTTTACTTACATGGAGGAAGACGGAAAGGCAAGAAAGCTCTGCCTTCATGACTTAATCACTTCCCCAAAAGCCCTACATCTGCATGTTTTGTTGTTGTTTTCTTTTGTTTTGTTTTTTTTAATTTTTGCCATAGGGCGCATGAGCTCACCAGAGACAGATACGGACACAGGAAAAGCCAGCAATCACCCACATGAAGGATGGCAATTCCTTCTCCCCTATTCTACTCTCGGGATTTGGGGCATGCATGCACACGTCCCCAGCATGATTTTCAAGCCATCAGGTCCAGGACTCAAACCGCAGTCAGCAATGTGGGTGTCTGGTGCCTTAGCCGCCACACCACCTGCTGACCTCAAAGTCCTACATATTAATACTATCACACGGGGTATTAGGTTCCTACATATAACTTTTAGAGGGACACATACTTTTTGCTCTCTTTTTAAGTTTTTGCTATAGGGCAGGGGCACTCAGCAGAAAGAGACAGAGAGAGAGAGAAGGAAATCGAGAAAGCACCCCCGGGAGGATGAACACACCATAATCCCTTCTCTTCTAGTCTTCTCTCTCAGGATTTTGGGCATGCACACATGGGCATGCATACACACGTCTGGTATGATTTTCAAGCTGCTGGGTCCAGGACTTAAACCATACAGTCAGCCATGTGGGATCTAGTGCCTTAACTGCCATGCCATCTGCTGGCTAAAGACATGTACATTTAAACAACAGTGGTGTCTTATTATACCTTATATATTCAGTAAATGTGTAAGTCCACAAAATCCCTTTGGGTAGTTTGTCACATATACATCTTAACTGTAATGATGTATAGATGTGATTTTGTGACAGCAGAAATAGGAGATATTGGTATATTGAAACTGGATGCCAGCTGGTGGCTTAAGTGGTTAGGGCACTGGATTCCAATAGGGCCAGCCACAGTTAGATTCTGTCTTTCCGGCGAGTGCACACACCCTATAAAACCTCTCCAAAAAATAAATAAATAAATAAATGAAAATAAAATCCAGCTTCATGCCAATGTGTGATTAGAAAAGAGGAAAACATCTTAATAACCTTTTAGAATATTGCAGATATTCTTTTCTACTACACTAAAACTAGGTAAGAGTTCAGTTTTTTTATTTTTTATTTATTGTTTAGTTTTTTACTATAGGGCATGTGCACTTGTGAGAGGAGACAATGAGAGAAAGTGACAAATCCCCAGGGACGGCCACGCCACAATCTCTTTTCC